TCACACGCTACAGTCATAGTAATAATCATCATCGACATGATTCAAAGAGAGAGAAACTAGGTAATCATTAGTACACGTATTTTCCTAGGATTTTTAAAGCAACAGGCTCTAGTGGTGGAGTATTTACAGGGGACTGAAGGCAAGGTGGAATCACTAAAAACCAAGTTCTATTAAGACGACTACAGTAATTATCTTGGTAATTGAGGGGGCTGTATGAATTTTTTCAGGCAGAAAATTTTTTCTCATGAATGGTTAGTCCACTAAAACGGCTAATTATACCTTAAAAATAACATTGACAAATAAAAAGTAAAAGTGAAAAAAAAGATTCCTTGTTTCTTGCGATCATCTTTGCAAATAAGGTGCCACACTAAAGATTCAGCCGGTTGTTCCACTCAAATGTCTTCAATTTAAAATATCGCAAGTAAGCAACTCTTGACTAGCAGCGTAATCAGACATCTTTACTTCCTTTCTGTGGAATAAGGCTAACATAGTGAAGCTCATGAAGGTGACCCAGCACAAGCCGGTTGCTACCAGTAACATCAAACTCTGGGCAGATCATTACGTCATGGCGATGCGGAAGACTGCTGATCACGTGGATGCACGTTTGAAAACAGTTTGCCGCGCCGTGTAGAATCACGTGATCACCCCATGTACCATCTGTCATCATGCTTGTGAGGTAGGCATCCCAAGATGGATATCCATCAACAAAATGAAACAGTTCCGTCCCATCCAGCTGTAAGAAAGAAAGAAAATACTGTAGTTAATAAAGAAAAAGGTAGAGTACTTTTGTAGAAGGCTTTTTTTTTAGACAGCCTCGTTGTCTGTTCTTTCTAAGGCTGACCCCGCTGATATCAGCACTAGTATAATGTACACTGTTTTAGGTCTATCCCTATTCAAGTATTAAAGCAGAGATTTGTTCACCTTAGTAATATAGGACGAGCCAGGTAGATGTCTTTTTTAAAGTGAAATAAATTAACGTCGATGACGTCTTTATCTCCTTTGCGCGCCAAGAATCAGTGAACCGGAACCAGAACAATAAAGCTATGATCATACTATACCAGGTAAGCTTTGGTGACGACACGAAAAGCCATCCAGTACAGTGTGAACATCTATCCGATATGTGACTCTCCACTTTAGAGATCGGCGAGGCACAGCTTCTCTCCGTTTAACAGAAATCGCGCCGAAATCACCGCTCTTGTGTGTGAACTGAAACCCCATCCGGTATGATTCTCGTGCCCGCGAAAAAACTATACGGTATAGTGTGAACACAGATTAAGTTGTCTTCAATGGACAATGAAGGCGTCATGGTTCAGAGGTGTCTTCATGACCAAATTAAAACATGACGCACATAATTTAGAATGATCTACGACATCATTCTCACAAAATAAGGACAAGATCCCAACAAGTTACATTATCGATATAAGAATAATTGGATATACTAAATACTACATAAAAATAGCTCGTGACGTTATCTTGAAGAGATTCCACCGCATTTTATATATTGCTGACATAAAGATGTCATGTCATCACAGTAATAGGATTCGACTACAAAAAGCGGTCTAACCTGTGTGACCTATACCACTCTCCTTAAAAATGTCAAAAAACAACACTTTTAGGAGGTTTAGGAAGTTTTAGGGAGGTGTCCGTTACACGTGTAAGAGAGAGAGGGGAGGAGGAAGGGATGTTTACTGTAGAAATAATGTGAGTTTGGAAATTGCGACTTTTAAACCAGTATGTAGTCATATCCTGTTGTTGGTCGACATTTCAAGCTTAGCAATATACCGTAAAAAATAAAATAGGACATGAGCATGACGATCAAGCCGACAAAAACAGATAAAAAAAATTCTCCGTATCCATTTATGCCTCCGACTCGAAAAGTAACTTGGGAAAAGAATAAGCGTTCTCTCAAACTTTATCGCGCTTATTTAGCCATGCTTCATTTAACATAAGTCGACGAGTTTTCTTAGATTTGAGTTCTTATGACTATATCCGAGCCCTACACAAAACGTCGCATACGGACGTTTTGCGTCGCAGTCGTGCGTTGGACGACGAAGCAAAGTACAAACAAGCGTGATGTTCCTGCAGAGCTGATGTTTTGCTCATAAAGGGTGGATTCATTTGCAGCATACCCGTAAAGCCGTCACATTCAATTGCAGGAATTTGAGGCCCCTTCCACGCGTATTCGGATATATATATATATATATATTTTTTTTTTTTTTTTTTTTAAATCGGAGATTTATTTGTCCATTTTAGCCTTCCGTCCACACGTGATCGGCATTTTCGGGCGCCGAAGAAGCAGGTTTTCACAAATGGTCCCAAGAGTGGAGATTTTAAAAGACGACATGGGATGGACGAATACAGAGGATTTAGAATGCAACATTGCGCACGCTCTGTAAATGACTGCTATCGTATTTCAATCATTTTAGCGTTTTTATGTGGACGGGCGAAAAAGATTCAAATACGCTTCGTGTGGATGCGTATTTCGGACACGTGTGGACAGGGCCTTATTGTTGTTAACTTTAAGAGGAATTAAAACAATGTAGCGGGCAAATGCCACAGCTATGCTCGTATACTGCAAATGTGTGCACCCTAATAAGGTAATAAGATACTTACCAGCCTGGGGTTTTCCCGAAGGTGTTGTACAACAGTTCGGCGTAACTCATCATGGGACATTTGAATTCCTTTGATGAGGTCAAGCTGCTCTGAAAGTGCAAAAAACATGCAGTTTCCCTCTCCTTGATTGTCAGATGTCGCAAAACCTTTTTCCAAGGCAATCCTCTTTAAAGCCTGCGAAAGCTCGGTTTTGCCGGACTCTATGCGTGCTTCCAGTAGGATTTGTTGAAGTGCACGGAAAATGAGTTCACCTGAAAGCGGAAGATGAAAAAGACAAAATAAGATACCGTAAAATTCCGAAAATAAGCCCCTCTATGTATAAGCCCCTCCAAATGTAAGCCCCCCAGACCGGTAACGCTAAAAACCCTCCGTTAAATCACCCCTCCAAATATAAGCCCCCCGGGGGCTGGTACTTGCCCTCAAATACAGAGTTAAACAAAGCAAAAAGCCCCTCCGAATATGGGTCCCTCCAAAAATAAGCCCCTCAAAAAGAACCTTTGAAAAATATAAGCTCCGGAGATTATTTTCGGAATTTTACGGCAGGGATTATTTCAAGCCAGTTTTATAGGAGACGATAATCATGATAATGATAAAGAATTTGTATAGTGCTGGAACTATAAAATATTCAAAAGCGCTTCACATTAAGTTACAATTAAAAAAAAATCCTAAAAAGCTAATATTAACAATAATAATAATGAAAAAATTCCATGCTCTGCGAAAATCTAAAAAGTCTAATTCTATACAAAATTAAGCACTAAACTTCAGAGTTATTTTAGTAAATTATAAGCTTTCCCCCCTAAAAAGAAATATTTTAAGATGCTTTTTAAAAATGGCAAGGCTCCTACTTGTTCTTTTACTTAATGGCAGCGAGTTCCATAAAACAGGTGCAGCACAGTGCATTGGTCTGAAGCTTACAACAGTTGACAATTTCAGAAAAAAAATGATTTTAAAAGAACAAAGTAACTTCACTCTACTGTAAAAATATATTTTGGCTTTGGTTTAATTGGCAAAGCAAACAATGACATCACCTGCCATCGGTCCTGTTGCAGCATCTTTTTCAAAACCATTTTGTGGAACGTCATCTTCTTTGGTTTTTTGAACACCTGTAAAGTTTAAAATTAGCAGTGAATTTAAATTGTTTGGCCTGTAAGCGGGACAAGGAAACAGTTATTTTACATCAGTTTACTCGGAGATGCTACACTAAACATTGAAAAGCTAAAAGCATCCGAATAATCGAAAGCACCCTTGTTCAACAGAAGAAAATAACCGCACTCTACTGCAAAATAAATTTTGTCTTTGTTTTTATTGACAAAGCAAACAATTACATTACCTGCCTTCGGTCCTGCTGCACCAACTTTTTCACAGTCGTTCGGTGGAACGTCACCTTCTTTGGTTTTTTCAATACCTGTAAATTAAACAAAAAGTGTTGATTATAACAAAAAATGTCACTCTTCAAAAAAGAAAAATTCCAACCTTAAAAGCCCTCCATTCATTTTTTGTAATAAGTTATAAGCCAAAAGTTTGGCTGGGCTTTTGTTGTTATTTTCTTTTTATATACAAGAGAACCCCACCATTACTGCGGCATATGAATAGAAATCAGATGACTTTGATGTATCGCAATGTTATAGATTTTAATTTTTTTTATCGTTAACTCCTTCAAGTGTAGCCAACATTTTATAAAATTATACATAAAAGTTTTAAAGAATGGAATTGGTAAGCCGGCAAAAAAGATCTTGATTATTAAACAAATTCTCCTAATCAGTAACACAAGATATGTATGGAGAACAGTGTGGAGAGAGTGTGAATGTTAACATTAAGGTTAAAAAGGTTAATGACAACATTTCTACAGCGATACACATGGACCACGAAATATAATGTAGTAAAAATGTATTTATGCTCTCGAATGTATTTTATGCAGAAGCCATGGACATACAGCGATGAATGATGAAGGTCAAATGAAGGATAATCTTGATAAGATATGCATTTTCACATTTTCAAGAACTAATTATTATTATTATTGTTACTTTACTATCGGTGAATTTGATTTCTTACCATAAACCATCGTCCACATCCTGTCAACAAGGGCCTGGCACTGTCTCTCCCAAGAGAATCTTTCATCATAACATCTTCGCAGTCTTTGGATTTCCTCAAGACGCTGTGTCCTTGATTTTTGACGGATGGCTGCAATTGCCTTTGCCCATTCCTTGGGGTCATCAGAGTCGATCACAAATGATTCACCCATTGGAAGACCACGCAGTGCTTTTCCAAATCCGGAGTTTCCACTAACCAGAATGGGAAGACCAGCTGACATGGCTTCCAATGCTGTCAAACCAAACCCCTCAGTTCTTGATGGCATGATGGCCAGATCGACTTCACAAAACAACTCTCTCAATCTTTGTTTGTCTTTCACAAATGATCTGACAATCAGCTGGTTCTTTGAAATGCCAGTCTGGAGTAAGATTTCTGCGACTTCATCCTGCCTTCCATCGGGTGCACCAACGAAAACAAGACTATAGGAACTGTCCTTCAATTCAACTATGGATTGAGCGGCAATGTCGTATCCTTTAAGACTAAAGTCTTCGAAATCACCGCGACCGAAGGCTAACACTTTGAAATTTACACTTTCTTGTACAGCATGTTCAATGCTTGAAAACTCTGCGAAGGAACCTGGTATCAGTTGAAGGATATCTCGACGAGATGAACGCAACTTGGACGAGAACGCTTCTTTCAACTTGGGTCCAACGGCTACAATGAGATCTGCAATTTGACAAAGGTCAACTTCAGCTCTGTTCTTCCCTTCTCCCTTGGCAATGGCGCTTGGATAGTTCTTATGCATCCCCAGCTCTTCAGGCTCAGTGTGAACAACCTGCACCCACTTGCATCGATGAGACTTTCTGATAATTTGTGCTTGTCTGCCAAGCTTTGCTCCATGGCCGATCACAACCTGAATGTCAAGGTCATCTGGTGGAAAACTCAACCAGTCAAGAGGATCACTGAAGGCAGGAAGGCGCCCTGCTTCCCGGATGGCAATGTTGTGACTTTCGGCAGCTCTCTTATCCTCTTCGCCACACTCAAATTCAGGTACAAGAATGGTGACTTCTACGTTTGCGTCTTTTGCCAAATGTATGGCAAGAGTTCTGTTTATCGTTGACAAGCCACCCTTGGACGACCCCCACTCATTCGCGAGAAGGGCAACTCTTAGTACAAGACTCCCTGGATGAGCTTGTGCAGTATCAGGTGAGGATGATTGAGTACACGCCTCCTGCATAGCAACCAAAATTGCGCACTTTAAAATATAAACTTTTACATCTGGGGGTTTCTACATTTTGAAGTGAAAGTTTGTAAAACATGTTATCAACACGTTAGATGCTATAAACTTATTACTCAACATTAAAGCAAAACAGCACATTAAAAAGACTTGAGAAGAAGTTATATATCCACTGCTTAATGCCAACAGGCCAATAACAATTAGTAATAGATGGTAGCCAATTGACCTTATCAACCGACTTGATATTAAGAACCAATGTTCGTTAAGTTGACAGCAACAAAGCCTTCTCATACACTGCAAGCAGGCTTGTGGTAGGATAAATGAAGGCATACGTTGTACAACATACTATAACCTGACAAACCAGATGCATAGACTTTGTTCAAACCTTTTTATTTTAAGGACATAATTTTTTATGAGTAGTATGTGTATTCACTTGCTATATGAAATTTGCTAAGACTACTGCTAGAGATCGCATTTCACTGCTACCTACCTTACTTTCTGTTTGCGAGAACCACTTTTGCTGTCCCTTAACTGTGAGTACCTCCTCAACAGGTTTCTTCTTGCAAATCAGAGGATCGCCTTGTCTTAACTCAAGGAGATGAAGACAATCTTCATGAGAACATGCAATCTGATCATGGCTTGAACACTTTTCCCGCTGACAATACGGACAGGCGACCCGAATATGATACTGCAATCCACCTTTATAGAGATCACGTGACAAAGATTGCAAAGTTGCCTCCACAAACTCACGAACATGCACTGCTACCTCACTTGTGCCATCCACCGAGATCTGCTGAAGTTGGTTTCTTTGCTTGATAAAAAACTTAATAAACTGCTTCTTACAAATAAGAACAAAATCATGGAAAGTTTGCTTCCCAATGATAAACCACGCTCCATTTTGGTACAGGGTAGGGGGCTGAGTTGGACCAGCCTCTGAACACCAACGGACAGATCGAGAAACAAGCCGAGTGAACAGACCATGGGGAACAGAACCGCTGACAAAGTAAACAAACAGAGGACAAGGGTCCAGCCTTGAGGGCGCCATGGAACAAAGGGAATCAGGCGAAGCTTTGAGTTGAGATGGAACGAAATACTTTTCACCTGTCTTTAAAGATGAAAATTTTGCAATCAATCCAAATTGTTCCATCAAATCCAGAATGTCTTTCCTGGCAACGCCCTCCAGAAGAAATTTGGAAAACACATGATCAAGCAGTTCCATGCTGAGAACACCGCTTTCTTCGACCTCCTTCCAGTGCTTTGCAAACTTAGGGACCTAAGACGGAATAACAAGAGGAATGTAAAGAAATTATTTTTCGCAAGAAAGGTTTTATTCAGGATATTGTGCAAGTTAATAACATTCACTGCTCATTTTAGGTGTTAGGTTTCTGGAGAATTGTAAATATAGCGAACACGTACGTGCTAAGTTGATTAAGGCAAATACTGTTAGTGTCTGTTTGTATTAAGATTTTTTACGGATGGAAGGTTTTAGTCAAGTTGAAGTAGCCACCTATTTAGCGCCTTAGTTTTACCGCATTTCACTTATGGTCTGCCTGTTTATAGTGCTGTAGACTCAGATCTCACGGCCATACAAAACGTTTTGGATAGATGTTTCAAAAGGAAATACACATCTAAGAGAATGGACATTCGAGAAATTTTAGAAAAGGCAGATAAGAAGCTTTCAAGGTACGTTCAGTGGATCCCGATTGCCAGCTTAGTAACATCTTTCCGAAGAAGAAAGAAACAAAGCAACAACTCAGAAACAAAAGTGCTCATCGCTCGGATATAGAGACTGATACATTTGAGAATGTTTTTGTAAATAGGCTTATTTTTAGATATAATCTTTAATCTTTCTATTACTTGTATACAGTATGTCGTATGTATTTTTAGAATCCTAACTGCTGATGTAACTTAAGATATGTCTTTTTATCTTACGAAGAATAAAGACTGATTGATTGATTGATTTGATTGATTGAATGATCACAAAACTACTCAAAATAGCTTTCTTCCAGGATCATTTTACATTTCTAAATGTTATACTAATAAAGTTTAGCAAGTTCTCTAAAAGAAATAAGCTACTAAACATTTTAAGTAAACATTCAAGGAAAACTTTTCTCCTTGTAATTTGCGGATTTGTGTGAGGACACGTCTAAAATGAAAGTTACGAAAGACTGACTAGAAAGTATAACTGTGAATAAATCTTTCTGGGGGCGAAAAAAGATCATAGCCTTTTAAACAGACCTCAGATTTCAAATCTATAGAATGCTCTTTAAAGCGTCACGTAAATGCCAGAATCCTCCATTTGGTTTACTCTTCGGAAAATTCTTAAGGTCCAAATTTCACTTCCGGCACAGGCAGCCCAAGCGCACTGTTTGTGGGTTCGGGCTTCAGAGGTCATTTGGTGGGAATATACTAGAATTATTAGTGTATTATCTGCTGCTAAATAAATGCAAAAAGTCTTAAAGATATGAAGTCTTCTTGTTTGTCTATCGGTACTAGTAGCCTTTAAGATAACGAAAATCGATATTTCTTGCATTATTACATGTGATTCGGGCCCTTATTGATCGAATTTTATCACATGTATTCGAATCTACAACGCTAAGGGAAAAAAAATCATGATCACGCGAAATATTGATTCAAAAAGCTCCCTTACCTTTCGTTCATAGCCACTCTGTGTCCTACGGCTGGTTTAAACGCCGTTTAGTCGACTTTCTTTCCATCGAGTACTGAACACTATAAAAGAAGAGAAGGCTGGAGACCTTCCAATTGACCCTCGCCGCTAGAAGGCCAATAAATTCCAAACAAAGCGACCGATCTCCCTAAAATTGCCACCTTCTTTTATAGTGTTCAGTACTCGATGGAAAGAAAGTCGACTAAACGGCGTTTAAACCAGCCGTAGGACACAGAGTGGCTATGAACGAAAGGTAAGGGAGCTTTTTGAATCAATATTTCGCGTGATCATGATTTTTTTTCCCTTAGCGTTGTAGATTCGAATACATGTGATAAAATTCGATCAATAAGGGCCCGAATCACATGTAATAATGCAAGAAATATCGATTTTCGTTATCTTAAAGGCTACTAGTACCGATTGACAAACAAGAAGACTTCATATCTTTAAGACTTTTTGCATTTATTTGGCAACAGATAATACACTAATAATTCTAGTATATTCCCACCAAATGGCCTCTGAAGCCCGAACCCACTAATAGTGCGCTTGGGCTGCCTGTGCTTCCAGAAACTATAAATGTTATTTCTGACGAATGAGCCCGCGAAGAAGGCAGAAATAAATATTTTGACGGCACGAGATACAACAGGGCCTGGGTACTAGGCCGGGTGCACCATGGGTAGCCATATCGGGGGTATATAAGGCTGCGTATATCACGTGTTCGTCATCTAGGCTTACGAACCAACCTCTCCTTGGTTTTTCTTAACGTTCTTATCGGCTCTTTCTTGCGTTATATCCGTCAGCAAAGACGAAGTGTCTGATCTCATTGAGGAGAATAGCAAACAGTTAATGGACTCGTTTAAAGTTTTGTTAACAGAAACCGTTGGTCAAATCAAGCGCGCTGATGAATATTTGGCCGAGCAGCAGATGAAGGAAATTAAGAAACTAAAGTATAACGAACCACGCAGGTTCAAGAAGAAGGCCAACGAAAACCAGTTTTAAAGGATCCACAGTGCAGAATTTTGCGGCCGTGTAGCGTACTAGGCCCGTAAGAAGAAGAAGACCACTCGAAAACAGATCCTCGCCAGTGGGAACGTCGGCGTCCACCTCAACTTCACATATGTAACCCCAGCCTCATGTCAAACGTTCCTGTTTTATTTTCGCCTTCTCGACGACCCAGTGTCGGGACCTGTTTTGCCCGTGGAAAGCGTTCCTGTTACCCGACGATGGACAAGCCAAACATCACAAACTCCCAAATGGCTAGATGAAGGACAACAATCAGGTGCAGTCTATTCTAATTTAGTACTGAATTTTTTAGGCGGCAAGCCGTAATATGGATCAGGATTGTCTCGATATTATACCAGTTTCTTCTGACGTTCACCCCGCTAGTTTTAGGCGCGGTTTAGAGCTCTGAGTGTACCGTTGATATTTCTATTCTGCCTTCAGTTTGGGGAAGATTTTTCACAGTTATCTATTTCTGGCATACTTTGCTAGTTTCTCTGTTCATTTTGAATGTTTTTAGTCTTAGTTACAAATTCCCTTCTTCCAGCTTTTTATGTTTTTTTTTTTTTTTTTTAATCCCTACAATGCCTCTGCACGTGTTTACAGTTCTTTTTTGTCCGTAGCTGTTAATGAGCTTCCCAGCCTCAACCTCCTTTTAAAAATTTTTGCATTCCAATATCATTTACCCGCTTTCTGTTTGACGCGCCGCTCCGGCTAACAAAGGTTAATCCTGGATTTTAGGCACGTTTGCACTTTTTTCTTCAAACAGAAATTCAAGTGCGAAGACTTGTCCATGGCCACTTATACTTTTGATATGGGTTTTTATTTATTCATATTTTAGCTCTAGTGCGGTTATCGTTATTTTCCCTGATCACCAGTATTTCCTTGCGTTCACCTGGGATCTCGGCACCTGGGTTTTTAGGTATTTTCTACTTTGCGCGCTTCCCTTTGGGTTCTTGTCAGCCTCCCTCAAACCGCTTCAGAAATCTAGAAGAAGCCAAGGTATCCCTATTGCCATTTTTCTTGACTATGGTCTAGCTATAGGAGGAGGAGCCTATCGCGTTCAGGCCTTAATTTACAGTTTGCGGGCTGTCCATGCCGATTTGCTTTAGTCTCGCTTTGTTCGAATTCCTATGAGGAAAAGTCCCTGTGGGAGCCCGTTCGAATTTTATAGTGGCTTCGCGTTCATCTCAACATAACACTCTGGATGGAAGTATTAGAGCCACGGATGAACGCATTGCTAAATTGTCTCGCGACCTGGCGGCCTTGTTTTCATATTAGTCGTCCACCACAGTCCACGTTCTACGCGTCCCGTGTGTAGCCGCCCATAGTATTTCCCTCTCGAGTAGCGTGGGATCCGTCGCGTGCATTATGGCCCGATTTCTTTTCTCAGTTGTTTACTCAGCTGTTTCCTGGGATAGCTAGGTTTTCCTGTCCGTTGATTCTTTGTATGAAATTGAATTTTGGTCGAATTATGTTAGCCTCTCTACGGCAAAATTTATCGAGGGGTTCCAGTTCGCTTCCAGTGAGAGTAAGCTCCGGCTTCTCCGATGCTTCCGATTCAGCCTGCGGCGTTTAAGTGGAGTCTGAACCTGAGTTTATTTTTTATCAGAATTGGTCGGAAAGTGTTCGTAGATCGACTTGAAGAGAGCTCAAAGCGGTTTGTCTTGCCTTACTAGCCTTCGCGTGCCCTTCATCTAATTCCAAGGTTTTTTGGTATTCTGACAACCAGAACGTCGAATCCATTCTCCGCGACGGCAGCAGGAAATGCGATCTCAAAGAATTTAGCCCTAGTTGCTTTTCAAATTTGCTCCCATCATTGTATTTCGTTCGAGGTCAAGTGGACCCCTAGGGACCTGAACGCTAGTGCTGTCTGTATCTGCAAGCTCGTTGACTTCGATGGTTACGGCCTCAACGATTTTGTTTTGCTAGGGCTAAATCACCTCTTAGGTCCTTACATTATTGACAGGTTCGCCTGTAGTTATAACGGCGAGTTGCCTTGGCTTAACTCTCTATTTTTTCAGCCAGGCTGTTAGGCTGTTTATGCCTTCGCTCAAAATTGGGGATAGGACAACAACTGGCTTGGCCCACCTGTTTGCCTCATTGTCAGAGTCATGTATATCAGACACATTGGGCTCTGCCGCGCTCACGGGAGCCCTTATTTCTCACGTATGGAAGTCAGCTATTTTCTGAAATGTTTCTACTAGAGATGGAGTGCATTGGTATAGTTTTGTTGTGGACTGGGTTTTATTGCTTAAGTTCCAGGGATTATTTGTTCCAGGGAAGGTCCGTAATTCCCTTTTCAGAACCAGGCCTTTATTTTTTGGCGTCATAGCGCTTCGCGTTTATTTTCGGCGCCCCACACCTCCCTCGTCCCTGGCGGGCTTCTGCTCTACGCTGCCTGACGGAAAGTGTTGCCTGTGCCTCTACACGCGTGTTATGCGTACCTTTAGGTTTGGACCCATTAGGTTTTTGCATGTAGCCTTTTAACCCCCCACTTCCCTTTTCCGGTGATTTTTCTTTTTTATTGCGTGATCCTCACATTTTCTTTTGTATTTTCGATTACTTTTCAGATATATTCCGCTCTGGTTTCTAGCGCGGGCCCCAGAATTTCCCACCAGAGGGTTGAACCCTGAGGCTGACAGACAGTCTACAATGCAATCGACGGTTCTCTCCTCAAAGGCAGTTAGTACGACAGTGGAGTACCTTCGTGCTTCTCGCAAGTAAAAATGTTTTGCTGCCAGTAAGCTTCATTCCTGGGCCTGTCCTGCCAGTCCCTGCCATGTTGTCTTGTATTTGCAACACCTCATTGAAGAGTCGCACTCCCTGTGCGTCGTAGACTCGGATGTTTATGGTATTAAATGGGTTCATACCATGGCGGGTATCCCCTCTCCCAGGGTTAACTCGATTATTGAAGGGGCTAGGTGTGTTTTCAAAACGATTTTAGGTTTGATGAGGTCTCTTTAATTAGGGGGTATTATATTTTCTCTCATGAGGGTTTCATGATTATTAAGGTTCTCAAAAGCAAGAACGACCAACTTTGTAAGGACGATGACTCGAAGTGATTTTTTCGGAAATGTTTGGCCCTGCTTGTCCTGTCAAGCTTCTAAAGAGGTACCTTGCTCTTTTTTCCATCCCCTTTAGCTCCGGGGATCTCATTTTTGCCCCATGTTTCGCGGGAACAACTCTTTTTAGTTAGTTTCCCAGAACGAGCCTATCAGCTATACCACAATTAGAGAGGCTTTTCGCAAGGACCTGAGAATCCACTTTTGGTTTATATTCCTTGCGTTCGTGAGGGGCCACCTTCGCTGCTTATAATGGGGTTTGTGACAGTGTGTTTCAGTGGCTCGGCCGCTGAAAGTCCGTTCTAGCCAAGGACGCCTACCGATGATGACCTAGAAAAAAGGCTTTCAGTTTCCAAGTTTCTTGGGCTCTAGGAGCTTTCATTTGTCATTTCGCCCAATACTTTGTCACTCTACGTACTTTGTAGGGTTGGTTCTCGCCAAGCCGTCCCAAAATAAACTTATTTGCCATTACGTTTTGTCTGTTGATGTTGTGTAGTGGAGTCAAAATATTTTATTTCTGACGAATGAGCCCGCGAAGAAGGCAGAAATAAATATTTTGACGGCACGAGATACAACAGGGCCTGGGTACTAGGCCGGGTGCACCATGGGTAGCCATATCGGGGGTATATAAGGCTGCGTATATCACGTGTTCGTCATCTAGGCTTACGAAGCAACCTCTCCTTGGTTTTTCTTAAATTTTTGTTTTATTTATTTTTAGGAGCAACATATTCTCGATTACATTGTAAAGTCCCGTAGGAAGGGCTTTGAGCTTGAGCCTTGGTTCCTACCCAGATTTCCTGCCCGCATTTTTTCCCTTCGGGGTTTTTTTGGGCAGGTTTTTTCTGGCCTCCGTCTGACCGCATTTACTTCAGTTTGTAAGCGGTAGCTCAGCTCTGCTAGTTTTCAGCCTTTTTCCGTTTCTTATTTTATGTACTTGTACACTAGTTATCTCAGTTTTGCACCTGCTCCTTTACTTGATATATTTAGTTTCCATGTATGCTTAGGTCAGCTGTCCCGGAACCGCTCTTTAGGAGGCGACGTAAGTCTCGTTTGACGCAGTTAGGTTGCAGGCAATGTTACAGACCTCTAGCCAGGGTCGTTATTCATTGTTTACCCTCTATGTCCCGCCCTAGCCTTTTATGGCAGTCTTACTGTTTATTGGGCTATGTGCCTTGTTGGGTACATTAGTGGAGATAATTCCCAGTTTTCCTGGCACTCAGCCTCTGTGCTCCTGAAGTGTTCCCGGTCCCAGTTATACGTTGATCACAGTTTTATTAAATTTCCCCGGCCTAACTGGCACTAAGCCTGCGTGCTTATTTGGGGGATTCAGGTCGAGATCGATTAGTTGTAGCAGTTTTTTCTTTTTGCTTAGCCTCTGTGCTCCTACCGTGTTCCTCGTGCCAGTTACGCGTTGTCTGAGTTTTATTAATTAGTTTCTCCAGCCTAACTGGCAGCCTAACTGGCACTAAGCCTGTGTGCTTATTTGGGGGATTCAGGTCGAGATCGACCAGTTGTAGCAGTTTTTTCTTTTTGCTTAGCCTCTGTGCTCCTACCGTGTTCCTCGTGCCAGTTATGCGTTGTCTGAGTTTTATTAATTAGTTTCTCCAGCCTAACTGGCAGCCTAACTGGCACTAAGCCTGTGTGCTTATTTGGGGGATTCAGGTCGAGATCGATTAGTTGTAGCAGTTTTTTCTTTTTGCTTAGCCTCTGTGCTCCTACCGTGTTCCTCGTGCCAGTTATGCGTTGTCTGAGTTTTATTAATTAGTTTCTCCAGCCTAACTGGCAGCCTAACTGGCACTAAGCCTGTGTGCTTATTTGGGGGATTCAGGTCGAGATCGACCAGTTGTGAGGAGTTTTTTCTTTTTGTTTAGCCTCTGTGCTACTACCGTGTTCCGTGTGCCAGTTATGCGTTGTCTGAGTTTTATTAATTAGTTTCCCCAGAATGACTGGCAGCCTACCTGGCACTAAGCCTGCCGGCTTAAATGGGAGATTCAGGTCAAGAGCGACCATTTGTCGCACGAGTTTTATCTTTTTGTGAAAGCTAGTTTACAAGTGTTGTACATTAGGTATTCACCAGTATTCACCTATTATTGTATTTACATAAATACTTTGTAGGGTTGGTTCTCGCCAAGCCGTCCCAAAATAAACTTATTTGCCATTACGTTTTGTCTGTTGATGTTGTGTAGTGGAGTCAAAATAAGTGCGTTCTGATTGTTCGACATAAAGAGTCGCTGGTTTCAGCAGACCTATATGTATCTTTCCACTCTTTTTTGTTGTGAGACGTTCCTTTAAGACTACATTTGAGGATAATTCTACAAGTCATGCAATGTACTTCCATTGCACCCCTTTAAAGGTAGATTGTGCTGATGTCACACACGAAAGCTAGCGTGCAATGCACGTGACATAATCATTTTTATTTGTTACGGCACGGTTTGACACCCGTGATGTCATCCAAAATGGGGGCCATTACAAAGCATTGTAAGTTTGAAAACACGTTTAAAATGTATTTCTTACCATTTTCGTAAAATCTGGAATAGTGATCAGCTGCCCGAACAAGTCTATCAGCCACTTGGCACTCAAGGTGACTGTGCTACGGTGCTTGATAATTATCCCCAGGTCATGATAAAAATTCACCATGGTGGTAAACTCTTCATCGTCACTGATGAAGCACTTCTCCTTGGCATGGGTCCGTAGCTTTGTTATACTCAGGTAATAAACTGGCTTGGTAAGCAAAGCGTTGATGACTTTCTCAAAGCTCAGCCACCTAGTTTACAAAACCAAAGAGAAAACTGATAGCGCGTGTTAAAGTATACAAAGTCATGTCTGTGACGACACAGTATACCTGTGCTGACTAAAGTACAGGGCCCAGTTGTGCGAAAGGTGGATAAACCTTTTCACTGGATAAATAGTGGATAGTGCCATTAGGTTTACTGATATTTTTTCCGCTTGATAGTGATTCATCGTTTGAAAAACCGGTGCCAGAAGCATGCAAGCGCTCCAAAACATGACTGCTGAGATGTGAAAAACCATGAAGATTTTTTATTAGTTGGTATTAAAATGGTTTTTCTTAAGTTAAAATGAGATAAATATAAGCTTAAATAAGCTTAACTAATACAGCTGGTCATGTTCTGAATGTTCACCCTGTATTATGCAGTACAGATTGAACGGGTGTGTGATCCACTTTACTTTATCTTTTTAAAACGACAATGAAATGTACACTGTGCTTTTCGGCCAATTCAAAATAAGATTATCAAACCCTTCAGGGCAGAATACTCCTTAAGCCCAGCCAGAAGTGCTTTTCATGGTTAACTTGTTTCACATCGCGTAGAATGCCCGGTCACATCCGGGAATTTAACAGGCTAGAGCTGCATTCGAGCCACGATTTGGTCTTTAAAGTATGGCGGAATAATAAGACTGAAGCGACTTTGAGAGTTTTTTGTCTCTGATTTTGAGTTACTCGTAACCAAATCTCAATGGGTACCACCGGAATATTAATACCAAAAAACATCAAATTCAAGATCTTACCTTCGATTAATGCCAGCTTATCGGATTTCCCTGGGTTTTTCGCGCTAAAAACCAACTAAAAAATCGCCATTTTTGTATGGATTTTCACTTGCGTAGACTTTCGCGGAAAGATTACAACCAAAGTTTGCAGAAATCGCGAACGGTACCACCTGATATCGTGCCATCTCTCGTCTGCCTTTAAAACCACCACAGTCTTTTAAACCAAGGAATGTGATAAAACTGGGTTTCTTGTTTTCCTTTGAATTTGACCTGATCCCGTGAGGGGTAGCCAGCGCGAAGAAAACGCCCAGAAAACGTCTTTGAAAGCCAAAAAAAATTCTCCGCTTTTCGGCGGCCATCTTTTTTATTTTTCAAACTTGTTTCCAGTACTCCTTGACCGTTTTGTTGTTTTTATCTCATGTATGCTTCATTTAGAAGTGTCAAGGATAAAAACAGCAACATACTAACCCCCACCCAGACGGGAAATTTTTTGTTGACCTCAATGGAACTGGAATTCTACACGACGAAGCAACGAGATATTCATTTCTTATGACCGCCAGATGGTTCATTCAGGAATCACTGAACTTTTTCTGTGCACGCTGTAATCTTTTTTAACCAAAGTAAAGTAATAGTAAAGTAAAGTAAAGTAAAGTCAAAGTAAAGTCACTGTATAGTCATACAGTGAACCAGCCTTTAGATGTTTTGCAGTCACACTTTTATATAGCGTCACAGTCAACGAGTTAATGATGAGACCTGAAACACATTACATATCAAAAAAAATAATCTTACCAGGACTGGCGGAAACAAACGCAATACACATAAACCGTAATTTCAGTGCGTTCACAACTCAACCCTTGAAATTATTTTTAATATTTACTTTAATGGATTCTGTTCTTGTATAACCATTATTTACCTCACAGGTATCCTCTCCCCAATGTAAGGCTCCTGTCTTAGCACTTCCAAGATTTTCACTTGTAGAGCTTGGATCTTATCTATGTTTTTATCTTTCCCGAAAACTTTTTTCTTGATCTTTCTTTGAGTTAATTTTGCTGTGTTGTCAATGCTGAAGATAGGCCGCACCACATGTCCTTCATAGTCCTTACCAGCAATTGCGTTCTGGATTTCTGTTTTCATTGTTTCAATGTCTTCAAATGGTTTGTCTGCATGGGTCCCTACAATGATCACTGGGGGGCGCAAATAATGAGGCACCTCCTCTTCTTCATCATCACAGGTTTCTCTTCTCATCTGTGCGACGCTATGCACTGTGGACAGCCAAGACAACAAATTCTCAAGATTTGTTTCTCCATTTGGGTTTTCCAAAGGAACATTACGAGACCCTTGTCTCACACAGGGTTTGGCTGTGTCATGCAATGACTTGCTGAGGTTGCACACCAAGATGTACAGCGCACGTGATGATAAAAATACAGGATGGGATGCATGATACAGGTGTTGTCCAGCAAAATCCCACAGTTCAATACTGACAACAGATTCCTCAGGCTTAACATCTTCACCTTTCATGTACTTTATTAAATTTACAGTTCGATCCTTTATCTCCTCTGAAGGTGAAGTAGTATCAACCACTAACTCATGATCAAGTCCTGTTAATGTGAGTTCACTAACACTGTCTTCGTTTAGATCACCAACCTGTAGCAGATTACGAAAAAAACAAAAAAACAAAAGAACTGTTGATTCTGATTCTAAAAGACCTACGGTAGCTGGCTCGATTTTGGGGGTGAAGAGAAATAGTAGAGTAAGAAAAAAGAAAATAACGCCATTTTCTGGGGCAAAATAATTGAAAAAGTAGGTTTCTTCAACGGAATAATGAGTTCTTTTTTACTGGAACAAGAACGCTGTTAGTAACGTTGAGTCTCGCTTGCTTGGAGATAAGTTTTGTTGTCAAAGGCACCGGTGCTGTTATCCTACTTTTTCGTTTGGAATACAAAACGAGTGTTATATGTCATAATGTAAATACTCAAAAAGTAAAAATTGCAAGGAGAGACAGGCCGCACAACTTAGCCTCAAACTGGTGTGAAACCTTTTGAAAACCTTCTACATATTGATATTGCTCTTTTGAGGAGTACTCTTTCGCGAATTTTACACTCCCAAAATTCACCGATGATTTTTATCGGTATCAGGGGACCATGACTCTGTCAGTATAAATATTCATAGCTTCTTTGTACCGGACCAAAGTACGGCTCGGTACAGTATATGTCCAGCACAGGAAAATTGTGTAAGTTTAACAGAACCTTATACAACACAAAGTTAATTCAGTTCGCGCGTATTCCTGCTGAATTTGTTGTCCTCTTTATAAGATATCAATACCGCGTGAAAATAATTACATTTTCCATAGCTGCTTAGTATCTACTTTTAATATTTTCGTACAGTCTCAGAGTACAATGTTTAGAGTTGTGCACAGCATGCATTTTAGATAGATAGATCAGAACTTTATTTTAGCACGCTAAAAATATCAACATTGCTGGTGGGGTCGTGCATACAACAATTACAAGAAAAATATGGAGTAGTGAAAGCAAATGTACAATTAAAAAATTAAAAACTGTTAAAGTTTTTTCTTTTATTACAGTATCACTGGGATAAAGCGTTTCATTTTCCAGGAAAATTTCACTTTCTGGTCAAAACAATCACTGACTCAGACAGACTCGGATTAGTTTACTTGAATTTAGTGTTCAGTACAGCCAACGGGGTTATGTTCTGTGAAATTTATCTACAGTCTGCGGCCCACATCACCACTGATCCACCATTTATTTATTCATTTTATTTTCAAGTTCTTTTTAACCGATCCTGAATCCCTAATTCCTCGATCCTCGATCCTGATTTTCCAGTAAACCTTGAAGTTTTGCTGATTAAGATTATTCTTTTTATTTTCGACCACTGAAGTGATCAGTTGTTGTTCCAAAATAATCAACACATTCAAGCGATAGAATTCTTGGACCAACCTGCTCCGGAAAAGCTCGATATGGGATTTCTATTCTATGGACATGAAGTGCTGCAAGTAGATGCGCAGATAGTCAAGTTCAAAGCTACCCGTATAAACACATCCGTGACACATACGTAACGTTATGGTGGATTTCCACTGACGCGTTTTTGGGTCCGCACGTTAACACACGTAAATTTTAATCACGTAAATAAAATAGGGGTAAGATATAAAGTGTTGAGATTTAAGGTGGTACCGGAGGCTAATTTGGACCTTTTTACCTCAAGTTTGTGAATAAAAAATTGGATGAAGGATTTGTCAGACTGTCTTAAAATTTTACGGTGTGATAAATCATTATGCATAAAAAAGAAAAAATATATTTTTATCTTGGTAAGTTTCGTGGCATTCGTGGAATGTGAAGAATTTTAGGGTGTGGTCTACGTTACTATTTTGGAGCTAACCTACGTTACACTCTAACCAAATGTATATTTTTTACAGTGGAGTGGCACATTTATAGATATGAAGATAACAAAGTTTTTCAGCGCAATGCACCACAATATGATTTATTTTGACAATTTTGAGACTAAAACTTGAAAAAAAAATGATACCTTCATCCCAAACTTCCTCACAGGCACAATTTGCGGTGGACCAAAGCGCACTGCGTTGTTGAGCGAGTTTCTCCTTTTACGTTTACATAATTGTAACTGCGATCTTTCATACATTGCCTCTATTTTATTTGCAAACGCAAATTTTACGCACGTACGCACGTAAAAGATACTTGATATCTCAAGTATTTATAAAGTGCAACACGACTTCACATCTTAACAACTGCGAAAATCTATCAATTAAATACATAAAACTAAGTGAATCTATTTTACCGTAGATTTCCGAAAGTAATTGAGGCAATATTCTGAGAAACGTAACGCCTTAAAACACCACAAAATAGGATTTCCCCGCTATAATATTTTTTCACCCTACTTGGGGATATTTCCTTTTTAATCAGTGCCTGCATGTCGTGCATAATTACACGAAAATCAAGGGCCTCCATTCGAGGAAAATTACATCAGTGCCAAACTTCAGTCATCGCCGAAAATGTACCGCATGCTCATCAGGAGACTCATTTGCATACAGTGAAAGTCGCCACGATTCTTATCCCCAGTTTCCACGGTCTTCGCTAGGAACGCGTTGCCTACAAACTAGGTCCCACCGACAAGAAAAAAGAAAGGACTGCATTTTTAGAGTCTCGCTCTGCTAAAGCAAGCTCGACTAATAATGGAATAACGTAAATTTTCCAGCTGGAATAATGAACACCGGATTATTCCTCTTCATCCCCCTGGTTCGATTATTCAGCCATTTAAAGTTGTTATGGATAACAGAAAATTCTTTATAAGTTCAAACATTGAGGTACAATTATTGGAGGAATGAGGTATCCAAAACATTAAAATGCTCCTGCATTTTTCAAGGAACAGTAAATTTAAGAATATATAGAAATATGGTGTTTGATTGAGTCCCCCCAGCCCCTTGGCCTTGCTCCTCGCATAAAAAGGAAAACAGCGTAGGGAAATTGTGATTGGCAAAAAAAAACTTAGCGAAAGCTATACTCAAAGACTAATTAACACTTAAAAGTATAAATAAAGAAACGGCTATACTCAGTTTGGTTTGCATACGCACTAATGACCCAAAGGCTAAGCTTATGTGTAGATGGGTACAATCATGGAAATATAACAAAATGGTTGATAGTAATATCATTCTTTACTCGAAACTGAACTTATCAGACAAGTATAAACATGCTAAATTTTTAACCAGCACTGAAATAGCCTGCGTAGCAAGCGTTTCCTCGCGAGGTTCGTCTAGAAAGCTGGGACAAGAGCAAAAAAACATGAATGACGGGGAAGGGGGTGGGGAACGAAGGAACCGCTTGCCCGCAAACCCCACGATTTTGAAAAACTGCGTTCGCCCACGAACGCAGCTTCTGATTGGCGCGGTGCGGGTAGTGTTGATTACTTAGCATTCGAAACATCAATCAAACCAGGTATGCTTTGTTTTCGTGCGTCACAGATCTGGTCTCATCTGATTTGTGGTCGCAGATTACAAATGCTTTGGACTGATATTTATTGGAATCGTGTTTGTGTGAAGGTTTATGAGATAAGAGTCTTCAAAGTATAATTGGAGATCGAGCAGTGGAGACTAGGGGAGGCTAATTTATTGAGAATGACGGCGTGCAGATCTGACTGGCAAAAATGGACTGTTTGTTGGAGATAACATCAACATAAATCAAAACATCGGTACTCGACACTAGCTAAAGCCGCCATGGACAAGCGATTTGTCAGCTTTTTGAAATGAAAAGATTCTTTTTGTTTATTGGAAATTTAGCGGCATCTATTGTAGAGAACGTTTAGACACAGGCTGAAGAGCAGCCGCTCTGCAAAACTTATACCCGGCGGAGTGAGTTGTTCCGGACAAATCATTTTTGACGTGTCGACAAGGTTTCAGACGAGATAAAGCCACACAATAAAAAACAAGAAATTCTGCAGCAATCGCTCATAGTTTTAACTTTCTTTTATCGTAAATCTTTTTTATTACAGTTCTTGCAATCGCTTGCAACGTGTTCTATTAGAGAACAAAGTAATTTTACGAATCTGGTAATCCAGGGGTAATCTGTTCGTTATGTTTCTATTTTGACGAGCTGTCAATTTACAAATGAACCGAACCGTGAAATATCAAGGGGCGTTTTCCAGAATCGTGGGGTTTGCGGGCAAGCGTTTCCTCTTCTCCCCTCCCCCTCCCCCTTCAACCTTTTTTTTGCTTCCGCTCTAACTTTCGCGCAATAACTCGATTGGAAACGCTTGCTACGCAGGCTAGCACTGAAAAAAAAAACCACGATCTGGCAATTATTACATATTTTCCATAATGATATCGTAGTAAAAGGCAGGGAAGCCGTGGTGAGTTTCTCACTAAAACCTAACTTATGAAGGCAATAATCAATTCATAATAACTAGTAATAGTTGACACTACAGCTGCCCCCGCTCTGTATATTGTCGGTCAATAGCATTCTTGCTCGTTGTGTAGCTCTTTGAAATATACCGATTCATAATGAAGATTTTCACACATATGTCATACAATAGGTGAGATAAATACAGGAAACGCAAGGTTCCATGCACAGTTTCAGGTCGATTTATACAGCTTTGATCAAAACATTCTCAGTTTCGAGAATAGTTTATTCTAAACTATAAGAAAGGATTTCATTAGAAGTTGAATTTTTCGCTATTTCTCTTTCACTTTTTACATTCAGTTCATTTTATTTCCCGGAAAGGAAGCCTTAGAAATTAAAAGGACGTTTGATCAATTCAATCTCGCGCATTCTAGTCTTATTTTAAACTTTATAGCGGAAGGACATCTGTAAGCAGGGAATAAGTCAGCACAGAATTTGATTGTCGGCGAATTTCTGTAATCGTCCATCGTTCTGCTAGTGTGAAGCTAGCCGTTGTTCACTCGTCCTGCTTGCTTGGGGCTGAGTCTTGTTCCGGTCAAAGAGAGAGAAAGAGTGTCTGGCAAGGTTTCCAATGAAAGATTTGGGAACTCGTGTTTGGCAAACTCTCCAAGTGTTTATATATACACAGTTATACGCACCTTATAACTTCTTCTGCGCTTAACGAGTGTCGTTAAAATTTTGGTCCATAACTTTCATTGAAACAACTGCTCCACAGAATGTCACTGATAACACGTAACGTAAAAGAGTGTCGAAGTATGACTGCACAATAAATGTCACAAAATCTACATAAACGGTCCCTTGGGGATCTTCTGTCTTAACGTCATCCTAACCATTTCGTACTTGCGGGCGCAAACAATAGAAACGTCATCATTACCTACCGATTCCTCGCGGCCCCTGTTCAAGCAAATCGAGACTTTTTCTATATTGACTGTATGACTGTATGTTTCAACTGAAAGTACTTTCCTTAATATACGCGCGAGTTACTAGAGTGCCCCCTCGCGATTTCGCCTTCTGGGCGAAATCCCTGCGGGGGCAATTACTGTTAGGAAATTATTGACGTAACGAAGGATTCACGAACAAACATCACATTTTAAAACCAACAAAGACAAACCTGGTTCACAAGAGTAACTTCTTCCTCTTCTGCATTAGCACCAATTTGTTTCCTATTCTTGTTATAATCATTTTGAAGAATCGCATCACCTCTTTCCTCCTCCTGAACCCAATCACGGTTAACTGAAGTATCATTCATCTTTTCCACCACCATCTGTGCCACATCTTTCAAGCATCCTAGCAACCCTTGTTTTCTCTCATCAATAGGTTGCCAATTCCTGACTTCATCAACGTCCAACTGAAATTTTGATGGATCCACTTCAATTCCATCAGTACTTTTTTCTTTTGAATTAAACGGTAGACCAATGAGAGACTTCTTCAAACTTGTTTTTCCTGCTCGATCTTGCCCAATAAGCAACACTCGACCACGGTAAACATTAACAGCTCCATCTTTCAGAGCACTTTGATAAGCGAGCTGTGCTTTTTCTCCGCGTGCTTCTATTTCTAAAGGAGCTAGTGAAAAAAACCGAATGCTTATTAAAGGTAATTAATGTCTTAGAGTTTGCGTACTTCATTGGCTTCTACTTCACTTGACTGACCGAGGAGGTGAAGGGAGGGGGGGGGGGGGGGTTAATTTCCATCAGCGACTAATTACTACACCAGTGTTAATTGTCCTTCTTGTGATCTTTCAGTACGGTCTCTTAAGTTACTAAAACAAATCTATGGTAAACATAATTTTACTGAATTTCAAATGTGACAGATAGAATTAAATGTTGGTTCTTTTTAACAGTGTTAAACAATCCACCTGCTATCTTAAACTTGTTTTTCTTAATGCGCTTACTTTTCAGGTCTCCATGCATGTTCAAAACACCATAAATGATTATGTTTTGCGTCATAAGAATCATAAGTGTTGTTTGCATTCATGTAAAATACCTGTCCCTCTAAGAAAAAAAACAATATATTCTAAACTTCAACGAACTAACTTCGTTCCAATAAGCGCCTCCACCTCGGATGGGTTTTTGTTAATAAGCGCTCCCACTCTAATAAGCACCTCTATTGCATAAGCACCCTCATTCCAAGCGCCCCAATACCAATAAGCGTTGCTATTCAATAAAGACAATAACAGACTATTGTTAGATTCCTAGACTTTCACTCAAATAAACAGGGACTGCAATTGGTTGATTCTTGGTCACATGGCCCTGACTAAAATCAAATGTATCCCGATCGTGATACATTTGAGCAATTGTACCCCACTCGGGATACATTACAGCTCGTGACCAAATCATGGTGGAAGGTGGCGTGACAGGAGACGGCAAAAACACTGCCAGTTTTCTTTATCGTGAATGAACACAACAACACAAACATGAAGCCTCAAGCTAAAAGGCAACGATTATCAAAGTTATCCCAGAAGAGAAACAGCAGCTAGAGGAGGAAAAAGATGCAGATAATATAAGGAAAGTACTTTGTAAATCATTCATTCATCCCCCTGATCCTGTTTATGACCCTGTTAATGTCCTTAAATATATGTCAGAAACATGTCATCAGACCCTTGCTGACGATCCGAACACTAAGATCATAATTGCGGGTTACATTAATCACTTGAATATCAAAGAACTCATGCAGCGGTAGGCCATGCAACAATTGGTTATGGCCCCTACTAGGGGGGATCGCATCTTAGATGTCCTTCTTACGAACGGCTCATTCCTTTGCAAAAAAGGAACAGCGCACAAAGGACTTGTAAGATCTAACCACCTTGTTGTCAAATTTGTTAGCTTTAGAGATACCCGCGACCTTCACAAAATTGCTATGGATGTGAAGTTAGAGCTGTGCGACTGGTCAGATATCCTTGGCTTGGATGACCTGAAGAGTGTGTAAGGGTGTTGAATGATAGATTATGGACTATGTTTGATGAAAGTTTTCCCCGCATCAGGGTCAAGGTGTCGTCCAGGGGCCCTCCCTTCATGTTCCCGCTCGTGAAACATCTTTGCAATACTAGGAACAAGAGATCACACACCTGCAGTGTGGCAAAAAACATCACGCGACAGGAGAGGATTAATTTTCTAATTTGCTGGAATCAAGTGAATGCTGTCAATAATGAAAGCAAGGAACACTCTAGGCGCGTTAAGGGCTGGCGGGACATCGCGAACAGGATTACAGATAGAAAGAGTTAGTAAGGTGATTCGTCCTGATGTTATCAATGGATACTTTCAATCTATTAATACTGACGAGGCGTATAGAGCTCCAGTGCGATCTGCAGATACCTTACGGATGCCAGGCACCTATAATGATGAACATTCAGTCAGGAATTTTTTAATTAATCGGAAGAGAACAGCACCAGGGCCGGATGAATTTCCGAAAATGGCTCTGGCGTGATTACGCCCACCATCTTGCCCCTGTTATTATTAAGATTTTCAACAGCTCTCTTAGACATCAAGTAGTCCCTTCATTGTGGAAACTAGCGAACGTCTCACCCATTCCAAAAGAGTCACCATTGTCTGAATGCAATCAGCTGAGACCTATCTCATTAACTAACATCATGATGTGAATATTTGAAAGGCTTGTCTGTAAACTGAACTATCTCCTAACCTACAACCACAAATCAGATCTGATCAGTTTGGCTACAAAGAGAGTCACAATACTACTATGGCCCTCATTAAATGTCAACATCACTATTTAGGATGGCTGGACACAGAAGCTGACTTTGCTAAGGTATATTCCTTTGATTTTAGTAAAGCCTTTGATTCGGTCTCGCATGAAATAGTGTGCAACAAGTTGGGATCGTACAACATTAATCAATATGTTATCAACTGGATAATAAACTTCTTGAGTAATCGAAAGCAAAGGGTTGTAGTTGATGACGTGTCAACAAAGTTTGTGGACATCAATAGAGGAGTCCCACAAGTAACTGTGTTAGGTCCTGACTTGTTTTCTGTTATGGTAAATGACATCATAGCCGCAAATCCAAACAAGAATCTTCTCTTGAAGTATACTGGCGACATCACTTTGAGTGTCCCTATATATAACATCTAATACTCTGGACTTATCTTTAGTCGAGGTGCAGAATACCCTACGCTGGTCTATTGAGAATATTATAACCTTGAACCTCAAAAAGACGTGGGAAATGGTGGTTAGAGAAAATACTAAGAAACCAATCCCGGAACCCATGAAAGATATTGAGAGGAAGGGGGAACTCAAGTTATTAGGAGTGACATTTACAAAGCTACCATGCAACTGCGACACGCATTTCGATCATAACATTCATTCTAAGGCTAGTTCCGGATTATATATGTTAAGAGTTTGTAAATATTATGGATACTATGAAAATGAATTAATCAGCATGTCACGAGCTTTGGACAAATAAAAAATCTGAGTCCCCAACAGGATTCGAACCTAAGACCTCCCAAACACCGGGCGGGCGCTCTATAGAGTGGTTTCACTCACGTGGCCAGTATCTATGCAAATTTATTGGAACAAAAAAAGCGTTTGTATAAGAAAAGAGTTCAACTCCCAGAGGATTGATTTGGGACACCAACATGGCCGCCGTTTCATTGTTTTGGGATACCAATATGGCCGCCGTGACGTCATGTGAAAACACTCTATCCACTTGAGCTACGGAGAACTCATGGAGAGCTAGGCCATATACTAGGTTCATATCTGACACGCGTCCTGCATACTGCAAGGATCAGCAATGTCGATGTCCTACTGTGTGGTAAAAGAATGAGAGATGGTAAATTTTAAACTGATTAATTTATTTTTACATTTGTTTCACCGAGCTTAAAATTTACTCTTTACAATTTATTTCAATAGGGTACATAATTACAGTTGTACTGTATTATCCCTTAGGAGTGATTTCCACTTTCGCGTAATTTGTACGTGCGTGCGCGCGTAAAATTTACGTTCGCAATAAAATAGAGGCAATGTGCGAAAGGTTGCAGGTAAGCGTAAAAGTAGAACCTCGCTTAACTTCACGTTTTATCGCAACACTTTATATCTAGCCTCTATTTTATTTACGTGATTAAAATTTACGTACGTTAATGAGCGCAGCCAAATACGCGTTAGTGGAAATCAACCTTTATGGCCCTATGAAACAACTGAAAGACTAAAATCCTTAAATACTAAAATACTAAGCTAATAAATAATTTAAATATAAAGGAATATAAGGAAGGAAAGGAAGGAAAGGAATATCAGGAAGGAAAGTTCCATGGGAAAATATCTTTTGTAAGCTTGAAGATGAGTCCCAACTACGAATTCAACGTTTTGTTTGGCTTCTTTCCCTTTCCTACTGCCAGAGACTCTCCTTTAGTTGGAGACCATGTCGCTTTGTGGCCATGATGACCTCGTATAGCAGACGAAAATTCGCCTTTATAAACAAGCTTCGAACTCCAAATCAAGGGATTTTCAGAACGAGCCATGATCGTACACGTTTGCTAATTCTTGCCTATAAGGTGCCCTGCTCCTGTTTTATGGTTTTAGAGTTTTGTTTCGCAGTCTAAAAGAGATAGACGCCCTGTCTCTAATAAGCGCCCTCATTTGAGAAACCATTCGTATATAAGCGCTCCGGGCGCTAAATCGAGCCATTACGCTAAATAATTTAATAATGTAGAATTGTGCTTTGTTTAGATTATTCTGTACTTTGTTTCCACCTCCCTAAGCGTTATGCCTTTTAAGTGGTGGGAAGGTTTGGTTGCCTTCGTGATCCTCGAGGCTATACCAGTTGGGACCACAGTCCCTGCTGGGTTCAACCGTGCTGGGCAGGTTTCAGGTCAAAGACAAGACACCTGGCCCTCCAGATTGAGGGGTTAGGCAATTCACTTACATTATTACCATGCATGTTGACAGGGAGAACCACAACAACTAAGTTGCAAAACAAACCTAAGTGAAGCTAGTTGTGACTTATAATTTTTGTTAAATAGTTATAGTTTAGATCACGAAGAGTGCTTTCTCAGGCTTAAACACAGAAAGTCAAGCCATCTTCTTTAATTTGAAACTTGAACAGCGAGCTTACTGAACAGCTCAAAACTCCTCACCCTTTATGGTAGTCTGTTTATTCTTCTGTAACAATAATTTTTTGTATTCAATACATATTCTGTTCAGCGGCCAAACTTCGATTCCATAATTAAAACATGACAAAATCGCATTATCCATTTAACTCTGCGGTTGTGTTTTCACTGGGATAATGCTAGCTAGATAAAGCCAGCAAAGTCCAGAAATACAGCCAAAACACCTCGTCTTGTGTTAGCGAGTTAAACATGCTCACTGTTTTCAAGAGCAAAAATAAGGGATTTCCTCGTCTTTATGAGCGTAAAATTACTCAAAAGTTAGACAACCTTGAGAGATGGTATAACTTATCCTAATAAATGCCGCAGCCAATCGCTTTGCGCGTTGTGACAGACGCCTGCCAAGTGTTGAAATAATCTGAAAAATTATTTTCCAACGCTTGCTTCGGGATCCACTGTCCCCAATAACGGGTGTCCGTATTAAGCGGGTGTTCGTAAAGCGGGGTTTGACTGTACCATTGACAATCGATATAATGGATGAACATTGATTAAAATCGATGAACATTTATATTGATACTCACAACTCTTTCGATCTTCGATATTTATCGATTACCGATAGTAATCGTTTAATTACTGTCGATCATGAAAATCGATTACAATCCATTTTTTCGATTATCGAATTTCATCGATTGGCCTCGCCGGGTTAAACCCGGCTACTTACGGCAATAATTGTTGTTTTGCTGTTAGATTTTGAAACAAGATTGCAATATTACTTCCTATCATCTTACTCTTTAGAGACAGTATTAAACCGCATTCATAAACTTGCGAGAATCATTAAACGAAAACACATTCAAAGCGTTTAGCCTCCTAACATTCTTGAATGTTGCGCGGTTTTTTAATGCGGATCCTCTAAGTTATTCTGAGCTAAATTTAAAAGTGAAAACAGCTGTCACAATTAACTAGTAATTGTTGGTATATAAAAAAACACCTAGGAAAAATGTTCAGCTCAGTGACAAAATCAACCCAGTGAAAACACAACCTGTGATTCATTAATATTGCAGTACAATGTAAGAGTGTGATGGAATACAATGTTTGGTCTTTACCTTAGATATCACCCGGAATCTTGTCATTTATTTTTTACCTTTCTATGTTTCCATGATTATTCCCATAATTACTAATTTATTATACCTATTTTTCACATCTGATTTAAAATTTTAAAACATACATATTAATTCAATATAATGAATTAATATACAAGAAACTTACCATTGATATTGAAACCACAGTTGTAGCGTACCCTGACTTCTCAAACCCTCAAATTCGTTAAACCCCCGATAACTGAAAGCAAAACTGACTTCCCTTCCCCGGGCAAATAGTGGAATTTTATTTCGGTTTTTTTCGAACTTCCAAATAACTAAAATATCCGCTTTCCTTACCTGCAACACCACCTACAAGTATTCCTTTCTTCCTCAACTTCAGGGCACATCTTACTGCGTCAATAGTTAAAGGATTCTGACTCACACCCAGCTGCCTCAGCTCCCTCAAGTCACCGATCTCAGCGGGTAGTTCAGTTAGTTTATTTCCAACCAAGTACAGCTTTTTAAGTCTGGTCAGCCTGTGTATACTGGTAGGTAGATTAACCAAATGGTTGTCACTCACACTCAGGTGCCTCAGCTCCCTGAGGTCACAGATCTCAGCAGGTAGTTCAGTTAGTTTATTTCCATCCAAGTACAGAAATTCAAGCTTGGTCAGCCTCTGTATACTGGTAGGTAAACCAACCAACTGGTTGTCACCTACCCACAGCTCCCTCAGTTCGCTCACGTCACCAATCTCGGCAGGTAGTTCAGTTAGTTTATTTCCAAGCAAGTCCAGCTCTTCAAGCTTGGTTAGCCTGTGTATACTGGCAGGTAAATCAACCAAATGGTTGTCACTCACACTCAGCTGCCTCAGCCCCTTCAGGTCGCAGATCTCAGCAGGTAGTTCAGTTAGTTTATTTCCATCCAAGTACAGCACTGCAAGCTTGGTCAGTCTGTGTATACTGGTAGGTAAACCAACCAACTGGTTGTTATTCACACCCAGCACCCTCAGCTCCCTGAGGTCACCTATCTCAGCAGGTAGTCCAGTTAGTTTATTTCCAACCAAGTCCAGCTCTTCAAGCTTGGTCAGCCTGTGTATACTGGTAGGTAAATCAATCAAATTGTTGTCTCTCACACTCAGCTCCCTCAGCTCCCTGAGGTCACCAATTTCAGCAGGTAGTTCAGTTAGTTTATTTCCATCCAAGTACAGCCTTTCAAGCTTGGTCAGCATCTGTATACTGGTGGGTAAACCAAGCAACTGGTTGGCACTCACCCACAGCTGTCTCAACTCCCTGAGGTCACCAATCTCAGCAGGTAGTTTTGTTAGCTTATTACCATCCAGTTTGAGCACAATAAGATTTTTCAGCCTGCTGATACTTGCTGGTAATTCAGTTAGGTTATTTCTGTCCAGCACAAGTTTCTCTACTTCACTCAGTTCAGTGACTGCATCAGGTACCCTGAAGAGTCCTTTTCCTTTCAGATCCAAAACTTCATGCTTTAAGTAAGCACTCGAGTTTGGACTAATAGAATGCTCTATGTTTCAAATTGTTAATGAAAAACCTGACAGTAATTCTTCTTATCATCTAGAAATAACAAAAATAGTGACCTTTAGAAAAATCAAGATCATATCATCAATATAGGTGATTTTAGAAAATTAAAATAAAAGAAATCCAGAGCAGATGCTGTTGGTGCATTCAAAAAATCTTTTATTATTAAAGACAATATTATTATAGAATTAAGGTGTCGAAATTTAATGCCCGTAATCCTTAACTTTATTTGCCAGCCGAGAGATCTGTTTACTCAACTTGCAGGGGCACCCAACGAGAATATAGTTCAAAATCACTTAAACATAGGAGTGTTAAACGTATTTTAGTATTTAAACGGTAAATATGGGCATATTTTTATCCCCTAAAAATTTTTCATCTGTTCGGATTTCCTAGCTGAAAAACTAGTGATCCGAAAGTTATAGGGATCAAAACTTACCTTTTCCAAAATTTCAGCCAGAAAAATGGCTCCCGAAAATTCTAGGTGACCTTTTTAGGGTTAAATTCCGTTAAAAATGAGCAATTATATCTCTCATTATACCATTTTTTAGACGTTCAAAAATTCTCGGAGAGGCAGGCAAGCAAGAAATTATACAAAAAATGTGCCAAAAATTCTAGATCTCAAATCGTCTTCCGAACAGATATTTTCCGAAAATTGACGTTGGGTGCCCCTGAATGACTTGTACGATAAGAGCGAGCCGAACGCTGAAGTTCTGAGCTCTGAGATCTAAAATCTGCTGAGATTTGGTTCGATTTAAGAAACGAGCGACAAACGCTGTGGCTATATGGCCGGTAACTGTAAAGGTTTTCAAAACACTCATGCCCGGTAGTCCTACATTCTAAGTAAATTTCACAAATCGAAAAAATCCAGCTAAAACAAACTATCATATGTCAAAATTCTCAGTTTGTATAAATAAATATTTAAAATTTAGCCGTCAATTAATGGCTAAATTTACGTTTTGTATATATAAAGAGTGACTTAACAGCTAATTTTTTGTTATGTCTGTAGACAAAAATTATCGCAAATTTAGCCGTCATATGTCGATTAACTACGGGTGTATATATAAATGCAAAATTTGCAATAAATTTACTCTATAGGCCTTATCACAGTGTTTGTATGAGAATCTAATGTCCAAAAATTTCCGTAAAACGGCTGTTCTGAAAAAAATATGAATTGTAAACTAGATTTTCACTCCTAACGATTCTTCTGAAAAAAATTGAGGTCGTCATAGGCAGCTACCGGTATATGCGTTAGAACCACTTTTTAAAATTTTCTATACATTTGCCTGTAAACGTTTCCAGGGAAAAAAATTGCAGACAAATATGTGGAAAATCTGAAGCAAGCGTCTGGAGAAATTTAAGCGCAGTAACGGCCCCCAAAATTTGATAGCAAAATCCTTTGCTGTGTAGCTTTAGTTTACAAATCATATTTTTTTCAGAACAGCCGTTTTACGGAAATTATTCGACTTTAGATTCTTATACAAACACTGTAATTTCTCACGCGGTTGCCTACTCGTCAAGATGGGGTCGAAAACCGTGATAAGACCTACTCTATATTCTCAGTAAATTTTACAAATCGAAAAAATCCAGCTATTAGCTCATAACAAGAAACCACTATTGCTCAAACTGATTTCTTACTGTATTTTTCCAAGTTTTTAGCATCGGCCCGCCGCGTCTGGAAAGCTCAAATTTCAGAAAAGTACTAGTTGTAGTTTTTGGCCTCAAACATTTTCTTTTAAGTTGCCCGTAGTTTTGAAAACAGATTTTGAAAGAAGAGATAACCCTCTTTAACGTG